GGGGGGGGGTCTTCGACCTGAAAAATCAGGGGTTAGGATTTGCACCCGGTCGAAAGAAACCTTGCTATCGCAAGAGTAACTCCAGCTAGCTTCGCTAGCTTTCGTGACATGGGTGTGCATTTTTTTACCGTAGTCGGGCCGGAAAGTTTGAATAGGTGGTATGATTCGAGGGTATGATTCGGGGTATGATCCGGGGGTATGATTCGAGGGTATGATTCGCAGATGATTCGCAGCTTTGCAGTTGTATTGAAATATTGTTGGATTAGCTGGACTTCCAGCAGTGGGCCCGCTCTGCGCCGAGGCAGTAGGCAAGCAGCATCTGTTGGATACTGAGCAGGCTTGGCAAATGCACTCTTGCACCAAAAAACTCCAGTGGCCCTCTGCAGGCCCCACCAAAACAACCAGGATGTGGGATGGGTGGGGGACTGTGTGGAGGTGCGTGATTCGGGTATGAATCGGGCATGAATCGAGTGTGATTCATATGGCTTAGAACTGATGGTGGTCTATTTAATCAATGGTTTGTGACGTATCCAACTGGCACCTTTGAAACTATAATGCATTTGGTAGAAACTGTATTGCATTTTCAAGAAACTATATCAAGGCCAGGAATCCTGAGGCTATCAGGTTACAAAGAACTCTATGAGTTGACCACAAACAGAGCCTATCAGAAGGTCCACTAGCAATCTTAGGCATCCTGGAATTGAGATTGGCAGATTGGTCTATTGGCTCAAAACAAAGTGTTTGGCAATTACATAATTTAATGATGACATATATTGTCATATTGTCCCATTGCATCATGCAAACGTCATCAGTCATAGGTCACTTGGCAAATGGATTCGCAAATAGTATTTTGTAATAGGCTTTCACCCCAGAGATCCTGCTCCAATGGCATCATCTGGAATTGCTGCAGCTCTTGCTCTCAGCCAAGAGGATTGTGAAGCCAAGCTCAAAATTCAGAAGTGGTTACCAGCCATAGGGATGCACAGTCAAACTCACTGTCCGGCCATTGCCAGATATATATATATATATAATATAGATATATGTAGACATGATAGTAGACATGTGATATAGACATAGATGACGATAGGAACAAGTTAAGCTAAACATGATTGAAATGATAGTGACAACCGGACTTAGACTTAGACCCTAGACATCTACTTTGTTCTACTCTGTGCCGCTTGTGCCCACCAAGGAAGGTGACTTATCAGGAAATCTGAGCGATTCGGAGGACAGATGTTGTGCAAAAGCCTTTTGAGCATCGCACTTTGTCACTGTTGCAGTTTTGCTAATATTACCAACGACGCATGACTCATGACTCATGACCAAATAGCTGGTCAGCTCGTCTGATTTGGGTCCATGAATTTGGAGGCCATGGTGTTGCTTCAGGGCAATGCTTGTTTACTGCAGCCAAGCCTAGCCTAGCCTAGCCGAGATTTTCCTCTCACCCTACCTAAAACCATTCTGCCACCAGGAGCATTTCGAGCGATCTTCCACTTGGTCCATTTTGACGTCCAACTTGTCTGACGAGGAGGGTGAGGACATCCAAGCAGATGCAGATGCCCAAGGTTGCGACGGTGATGATAGTGATGATTATGGTTTTCAGCCGCGTAGGCAGCTGACAATGATGGACTGTGCGGATTTGTATGTGAAGGCTAGCAACATTGAGGCTCCATTTGCTCCTCCTGCCAGGCATGATAAGTATCTTAGTAATTATCTTAATCTTGTATCTGTATGGTCAGCCAAGTGAACCATGGAAGGTTAAATGTTGCATGCCACATCCGCATGCCAAAGGTCCACACTAGAAGACATCCTATTGACCCAAAATAGATTCAAACACGAAAACAATTGAAATGACATTATGTTTGGTCAATTGTTGTTTGACGTCGGTTCCGTTTTGTCGTGTTGTGTGTTTTTTTGTACTTATTGAAAAGGTGATTGCACAAAGGGGGAGGCAGGACTTGGTTTCTGGGGTCCAGATCAGGATATCTTCTGGGGGGTTCATGTAGAAGGCCCCAGCTTTGGACTGTTCCTCCAAGGTATATCATCGCAACAGCATGCAGCGGCGTGGGGACGGTGAACTACTGCATGAGTCCTGGACCGTACAACCTTTGATCGATGTATTGCCGGTTGTATGGTAGCGGTAGCGGTGTAAGTTGTTGTAGCAAGTTGTGAGTCTAGCCTGCCTAGCCTAGTCAATTTCCTAATATCTGGCTTTGTGATTGTGAGAGGAAGCCTTACCGACAAGCAGATGCAAGCCCTGAAGAAACAAGCAGATGCAAGCCCTGTAGAAACATTGAGTCAAAGCAACATGTTGTAGCAAACACCAGATTCAGCAATGCCGCCACAATGCTCATTGCATGACTCATAGAATCCTAGAATTTAGAATCATAGATTAGACT